GGATGATGCTGAAATTTTGACTTATTTTTTTATGAAAATGTAAAATTTTTTTCGGGTGTTTTGTTCAGCTTTTTTTTTCATAGTTCGATTAGAATTTAGGGTTAGTGTTTATAATAAAAGAGTATAGGTGGATTTTAGGAGGGTTTATATTTTCAAATTAAGGCCCCCAAATTTCAGCATCATGACATTTAATATCGATACTGTATCACGAATCTGATCGGTGACCATCGTCACGTGACAGAAAACCGAGTACAGATTATTTAGATGTAAGGTATAGATGCTGGTAAAAATGAAAGTTTGCATCAATTTTATTGATTGTTTAAATTATGCAAATTCTTAAACCATATAAAGTTAATTAATTGTTTCTCATAACCCGGCCGGGTCAGCTTTTATAAATTTTTGATACAAAATTTTTATAAGCTATTTATTATTAATGCTCTGGATTAGTTCTTCTTACAAGTCTTTTAATATTTTTTTGGCAAAAAGCTTATAAAATTTTTTATAATTAAAAATTAAAAGCCGGACTGGCGGGTCACTTTTAGAATTCTATATTGAGAAACAATTGTTTAACTTTGTATGGCCTTAATTTTATTTTTAACCATTACAAAAATTTTGCACAAAGGACCTTTAAATGCCTGCACAAGGGACCTTTAAATGCCAGAAAACAGGCAAATTACTCTAATAATTTTTTCACAACGTAAAGCAGAGAAGCATATTTGACAAATTTTATTACAAAATTTTAAATGCGTCGATTATTTGAAAAAATTTACCTTGTGATCTGCGTGACAAAACGTACGTACGTACTTACGTGCGTACAAAAGAGTTTGTGTGTCATGAATATGAATCAGTGGCTTAGTTTGCTCCTGCATTTTATGTATAGTTATTGTGTTCGGAATATTAACGTCATAAAATGTTATTGCGTACCACGCAGTTTTCCCACATGCTCATTATTTTGTCTGTTAGTCTGTTCCTTTTTACCTTGTAAACCAACTTTTTTGCTTGCATTAAAGAATAAAATCTACCTATTGATTATAAAAAAATTTTTTTTTTCCCAAATCCCAAACTCTACGCCTTCTTTTTCGTGTATAGTCTTTTGCAAGCCCTCGACTTGATGTTGAAAGCGTCTACATCAATGAGTCGTCCTCTCGACAAAAGGCTCGATAAGCAATCCGACAGTCAAGAACTTTTTAAAGCCGGGTCGACATTCGCACCAAGAATCCAATCTAACAATCAAATTAGTACGGATAACGAAAGCGAAGTAAGAAAACTTTCAGATTCTGAAAAAGAGGAACAGACAAAAGCAGAAAAAAATGGCCTTAAACCTAAGGCTTGGAAACCCGTCGCCGAAGGGGAAACAAATGGTGACGTAATTAAAGAGTCTAATGGCACTACAATACATACTAGCAGTGATTCTCCGGACAACAAAATATCGGATAAATTGGATAGCCCAACGTCTTCTTCAACGCCCAACGATTCATCCGAAATGAGTTCGCTATCAGAATCGCCATCCTTATTGCATGATGATCCAAAGCATAAAATTTCTAACATCACTGCTACTAGCATCACATCTGAGGATGAATCATCGTCGAAAATGGATGCATTAGAAAATAATCGAATGTGCAAAAAAAGACGCTGGGATGAGCGTGACCAAAACGAAAATGAAGACGATGGTAGTACATCTACAATCTATAAGCCAGAAGGCATGATTCTTTTCTATTTTAAACCATGTTTGCAATTATGTATCAAAATCCAAAAGCACAACAAAGATCGAATTGATCTTTCAGAGTTCATTGTGACAGATGCGAAAGAAATGCATTCATGTGCATCCCATAATATTTTCCGGGGTTGTTAAAGTGGTACAGATGTCATCAGACAACCTTATATAAGCGTGGCGTAGTTACAAATAATTTGTTTCTTCATGTGGTCACGACTTTACTTATTTCTATCATATTTATTTCGACTATAGAACACGATGAAAATGATAAACCACGAGTTGAAGTCCAAGAAGATCTAAAAAAGATTGAAATAGACTTTGTACAACTGAGAGATCAGTATGTATATTAATGAATGGTTATACTTTCCGACAAAATAAATAGTCATTATAAATGTCTTTAATATTTATTAGACTTTATCGTGAACAAATCCAAGAACTTGATAAAGAAATTGCGGAAATAAAACAAGGTATGATGATTTCCTTCTTTTGTAGTGATAAATGATTAATCTTTACATTTCTATAAATACGGGTGTTTTTTTGCCTTTACATTATTACATCATTAATTAATATCCATTTATAATAGGAGTTCATCCTGATCAAATATCGTGTATGGACGAAATTGATAAGAAACGGAGAAAACGTTCAGAGATAACATCATCACGGAAACGATATCAAGAATTGCATTGTCAAAGACAATATGAAGAATCGGAGTATAGAACACACCGCCAATTCTTGGTGAGTTTTGACTGTTTCCGGCTGATTTTCGTATTTACTTATCATCTTTTTATATTAGTCAGATCGTTATGCACTGAAGAGGCATATACTAGATGATTTGGAAAACCGTCGATTTAAGTTGATAAGAGAAAAGAATAATCTTGATGATTCTTCACGCATTGGTTAGTAATTAAATTCGTCATTTATATCATTTACAGCCTGATACACTTAACAACGTCGTTAATTTGGGTTATTTTATGTAACGAATCAGAATATTTGGCACCAGATCAAAGTTATCTGAAACAACTTCAAGATCAACGGTTACATATTTTAAAAGAATTAAAATATTTACAAGATAATCATGGTTTTCCAGCAGATATCCTTTTTATTCGAGAAATTTTGATTTTACAAAAAAAAAAAAAAACATATATATATACTTTTCTTTGACTGAAACTTACCTCCATCGTTAGATCCATTGCATGCTGTTGACATTGACGAAGATTTTGCATTGATGGGGGTAAATAATATCTGTTAGTTTGTATGCAGGTATATAGATAAGATCTTTAGCATTATGATCATTCATCCACTTATTTTTACTAGATTTCGAAAGAAACATTCGTCCAAGGTATGCTTATTATTTGAATGATCTTGTATAACTTTTGTATGTCTTGGTTTAACAATTTTATTATCATAGTTCGTGACCTATCCCCATCATCCACATCACCTCAAATAAGTACAATGCCGAGACCAAACATATCGGATAATAATAATAATCCGTTTCTTTCGCAGGAGTATCTTGATTTAAGTTCATCGGGAGATCGGTTTTTGCATTTGGGGCAATCATTCAAAAAAGGAGACGCTGTTCTCGTAATCGATTCTACGTCTGGTCGATATACAGCCAAATTTTTGGTTGCAACAGATTCAGAGGTAACTATTGTTTTCTTTTGTTTTATTAATAATGTAGCTTAAGGACATGTTAAGTGGTTAAATTTATAAGCTATTCATTTTTAAACAACCCAGGTGGTAATACAACGACCTGATGGTTCAAAAACGAGACTTCAAATGAATTTATTGAAAGAAGGCAAATATCAAATACATTTAAAGGATTCAAAGGAGTCATAATTTTCACCCCTTTTTTTTACCCAGTAAATTTAATAAATAGTTATTTTTATTCCTCGAGCAAGAAACAAAATGTATAATTTCTCTCCTTGCTTTTTCAAGCTAACATTTTCACTTTTAGTTCATTCACTTATAGACAAAAATACAAAATTACAATAACGATTGTACTAACAGTATCACATACACTTTAAAATGTATTATTTAAACTTTTTATATAGCATTAAGTTCTCGGTTTTTATTTGAACACAGCACCTATAATCTCCTTCCTTTGTATATTTTCATTTATATAAATTCGAAAAGATTGTTTTATGATAGTAAATTATTTGTAATTTATAGTATACGGTTAATTTTGAGGTGGAGTGAGAGCAAGTCTTTAGACTTCATAACCATTGTTCTATTATTATGTAACAAGTCGTAGATATGTATATAACCTTCCTTTGTTGCTTAATAAACCTAATTCAAGGATTGGAACCGTCTAACCATTTAAAAATTGTTTTATAGTTTTAGCTGAATTATTTTAATACTTGTTGAAATTTCTAAATTTGAAGGGTTAGGTTTTTTTTTTTTAATATTAAAATAAGACCATGCAGATTTAAATTTTTTTTAGATCATGTGATGAAGCATTATTTTATTATTTTTAAATAATATTAGCTATATGTATGTTATGTGTCATTTCGCAATTCCTGTTAGTTTCAAAATAACGCATATTAATTTAAAATTGCAATTTAACGTATA